TTGAAGTGGCTGGGCCTACTAGTATGTCTACAAGGTAAGAAGCATGTAGACCAGAATGCAGTTTTGTATAGGTATAGCAAGTGGTTAAACTAAATACTGGTGATATAATTTCCATAGTTAATGAAATTATTTGCACGAAAGATAAAATACCAGCATTAATTTTGTAATATAAATGTTTTTCGTATTTCATTTTAGATGACAATGTTCATTTCCCATACGCAACTATGTACGGTAGCCTAGCACCGACGGCTTGTCTATTCAATACAAAACATCCGGCCAGAATTAATAAAGCAACCTGCTTCTCCCTGAATATTAAAGTTTGAAAAAAATATTTTGCTTTTCAAATGCCTGGAGATATTCTACAGATAAAGATGTCATCTGCCTTGAAAATCACACCATATTGGGAATTTAATTAAGCCTGCACCTCATCAACAGCAATTGCCCACCGCCACTGGAAACAACCCAACCGAGCTGCGCGCCCTTATAGAATGCGGTTCCTTTCATCTATAATTCAGTACTCGGACATTACCTTCCAGTATCAATAATGCTTTTTAGACTTTCGGCGATAGTACAACATTGCAATGGTATTTTAGGAGGCCTGAAAATGAAAGGGGTATGTGTAACTTGGATCGTTTTTTTTGTACCTACATGTCACATAACATCAACACATATAATAGCTCATTTTTCCGACATTTTTCGTGATTACAATACTTCCTCGCCAATGGAAATAAAAAAACATTACCTTATATGCCACAAACTTTTTGTAACACCTGTTGCATTTTTAAATAACACATCTATTTCACATAAATCACCTCTCCTTAAAATTTCTACCAGACTACTCATTTTGGAGAAGAACTGGATTGTGTATTTGAGGTAAAATCCATATGAAAAGTTTCATTTCATTCTAGTTTGGAAATACGCTGAGGCTAGTGAAGTGTGACATTGAATACTATTTGTAGTTCATTAGAAGAGTTACCTCATCTAACCATATCATTATTTGAACAAGATCCGTGTCTTGTTTTTATTCCTTCTCATTAGTCGCCTAAAAGCTTCCAACACACTGTATCTTGGCAATGAGACACTTGAGGAGCTTTTTTTTCGTTATTTGTGGATATATTTCCTGCTCTAGAAGTATTGGCATTGTTTTTGAATCACCACGTATATGATAGTGCAGACATCCAAAAACGCGAATTGCTGTAGCATTTTTATTCAAAACGGGATGACGTGGTGGGATTCCAATTTCGGAATTCCAATTAAGCCATGTGGAAACAATACATAAAACGTTTATTCGGGGTACAGCTATAACCTCGTCACGTGTTGTGTTGATTCGATTTGCGCAAAGTGGATGGCACAACTCAACAATGGCATTGTTGTGAAGCAGACGTGCATGAAAAAAGTCTATGTTGAAAGCGGCCCAGAACCGCACGGGTATTACGTATCTTAAAAAGTGACATTATGTAGGTTTTTCTACAAGATGTTAACTTAGCACTAGCTGATGGACACGTTGTGAACTCGTTTTGAAGTTGTACGTGTTGCCTAAACGTCATGAGGCTTCACTTATCAATGTCTGGCTCTGATATGATATAAAATCTACTTCAGAGATGGCATTACTGGAGGTAACGGCAATGCATAGGTGCATAATGAGGATTTGTTTGCTAATAACATGTGTTGATGATAATTCTATTGGATTCCTGTCTCAAATACACTTACTTGAGATTCAAAGCTAGAAATTAGTTGCTCATTCTCTCTTGCTTATTGGTTCTGGAAATTACATATGATAATTTGGTGAATTTAAAAAATGAGAGAGATAAGAAACAATTATATTCACTGTACACTGTCGAATTACAAGTACTTTACATGCTAAGCGTAATTTCATGTAGTTCTCCTCAAAGCTGTTGAAAACACAAAAAAACGTAAAGAATCGTAATTTATAACTTTGAGCATAACCTTTCCTCATAAAGGACAACATATAAATAACCCGTCGGGCACAACTAATAGATATACTTCATTGGCAGCTTATTCAGTAATGATTTATTCACACAGCAAATATCACTGATTTTATACAGATGCAGACCAATACACACAATTATCCAGATGCGATCTTGCTATTCAACTAACTTCGTTCTCAGAGATGAAAACAATAGACTACTCGGCTTCACAAAACGTATGCAACCAACAATGCTTATAGTTAAGCCATTCCTCCATAGATGGACGCTCACAACGATCCTAGTAAGAGCAAACGTGGAATGATTATTTGCACCCTAAAAACTACGTAGTCTGCAAGATGACATTTTATAGTTTCTTTTTTTGACATTTTGTAGGTTTTCACATAGTGCCTGTGCCGGTATTGTCGTTCTCCAATACGCAAGGCGTTTCAAGTCGCTGAGCGAATATTACGTCGTTTGCACTTACTTTCGGTGTATTTGTAAAATATGATATTCCCGTTTGTCTCACGCTTAGCGTTTTTGACTATCGCTTATCGACTTCAACAAAATTACTGAGTGGTTGGTAAATAGCTTATCGCTGTCTTAGTTTTTATTGACATTCTAAGATGTTGGGTGTTATAGATATGCTGTTGTGGTGCTTTTTTAATAATATCCCGTTACCTAGTGGCATACCATTTTACTGGCGCTAATTTAAGCAGAAATAGTGGAAACTTGGACAGGCAAAGATTCGGAGCCGATTACTTCTTAGATTTCTAGAGATTTGTACAAAAATGGAAAAAAATAGCGTCTAAGAAAGTATGATGTGCAACATTTGAAGGAATTGATGCAACCTCTATTTCAAATGCCTTATAGATCGCACTTTTCATCATAGTATGCAGATACTTAAATGAATATGGCATAATTCTTCTAGGTACTGTCTGCATTGCCTTTCTTTACTAGTGGAAGATACCCACCTTACGTAGACAGAACTCATCCTGTAAGTCTGACTGCCATCTCTCTCAACCGAGAGCATGTCGGTAACATTAAAAAACATCGATGCTGCGATGTGCCAGACGGATTGAAAGCATCCGCACAGCAACGTGAATACCTAAACCAAACGCTTAACCCTTTTGCAGTGCGATATGATTCGCGAAGCATTCTGAAAAGAACAACGATACAGGTCCAGAGCTCTGACGGTTTTATACTTATCGCTGTAGCCTTGAAACGGTTCTGACATATTTGATCAACGAGCTATCAAATCTGACAACCAAAGGAAAACTGCTGTAAGACTGATAAAACTATCTCATGACAGCAACCCTTTGTTGTGTGAAAACTTAAATGGTACAACTCTTGGCCCAAACAAAACAACAAATACAAATTCCTAAATTAATTTTTTGATCAATTTAAAATTACTAAATACTAATTAACAATGTCAAGGCGTTCCTCCAACAGGCTCACTTCCTCCTCTTTGCTCTTCCTCTTCCTTCCTTTCTTTCTTCTTCCCTTTTTTCCCTGACTCTGTCTGGTATCTGGGCATCCAGACCTCACAGACCTACTGAACTGGGATACTTTAACCAAGAGCAAAGGTCCCACTAACTGCTCTGGCAGGCAATGACGAATGGAGCGAGAACTATCCCCAGTATAAAAGGGATGCACCGCTCCACCGCATTACGTCATCTGAAGACACTCAATGTCTTATTCCGTTGTGAGAACTCAGTTAGTGTAAAAGTATCGCTAGCTAGCTTTGCCTAGTGCTGGGCATAAGTGTTTCGTTTAACCACTTGGGATCATTGGTATCAGAAAAAAATATTCCATTATTAAGTTTCTGATCCCCGTAAGATTACACATCTATCAAAATTTATAGTCACAGCATGTATTTTCTATATGATAAAACCTATATACTTATACAGGGTGATTCACAAGCCGCGACTAAAAATTATACATCATACAAAGGACCTTCTATGTAACAGTTTTTCCTCGAGGCTTCATTAAACAGATACGGGGTGTTAGAGTTTAAAAAGTAAAAACATTTTTTTTATATATTCAAAGCCGTCAACTGGTATGAACTAAAATTTGGTATATGGATTTACCTAAGTATTGTCCACATTTAAAAATTTGTTCTCTGTTTACCGTAGTTGCTTTGGTCGACTTTTTTGATGGAGTTCGGTTTGCAGATACTCCGGACATAAGCTAATCAATAATAATAATTTGATGGCAAAATTGCTAGGTAAGTACATAGTAAATTTACTTGACTCCACTTTTCATAAGAGTAGCAAGCTGTATGTTTATTTTTTAGATTCTGCATCAGATGGTTGAGAAACTGTTGAAGGCTTTGTCAACTGTGAGCATTTGTCAACCATTCGTTTTTCGAATGTAAGCATCTAAATCCACTTGAACTGAAATTCAATAGCGGCCGTGCTACCATCGTATACAGACTTCCCAAAGTAAAATCACCCAAGCGGCTCCTCTTGATAAAAGGGTCCCGTATTTTCTATTTTTGCTAAAAGTAGCTACTCAGGACGGTTACAGGTACGTGGCCGATGAACCACGGCATGCACCGACTCCGTCAGTGAAAATTGGATAATAGCTTCATAAAGAGCTGATTCCGTTAATTAACGTAATATAGGTAGCAGGTAGAATACGTTTATCAACATAGTAGGACACATCCTGACTGTGAAGGACGAAAATGGCTTATTTTGCACTTTTTCGAATACTAAGTCGTTTAGGGTTAGTTAAGATGACGCGAACCAGACGCGCGTTCGCTTGACGCAGCGTCGATATGCGAATTGAGATGCATGCATGTTACTGCATGTTGAGACATGTCCATGAGTGCATAGTAGCCGCCAGCAACACGTCTGTTGATTTAGTTGTTCATTCTTATTGACAGTGCGGACTATGGCATCGTGGTCACTTACGAGGGATGTTTTTTAAGTTTTGCATATAGAAACATAGTAGGCCGCGCGGATCGAACGTCAGTACTGAATTTTAACCTGACTCTTGAGTATACTTAAATTCAAGGTTTCACAACAATACGTGCAGTGTTCCCATTACAGTAAATTTTTAAGTGTCACCAAGTCATTAGAAAAATGGAACTCAACCGAGAACATTTTCGCGCCATAATTTATTACAATTTTCAGAGACAATTATCGCAACAAGAATGCCTTGCTGAGTTACTGTCTGTTTTCGACAACGAGGCGCCACATCAGTCGACAATTGAATTCTCCATGATTATTCTAAAAAAACCTAGACTATATCCCACTATGCAACTTTATTCTCAAGAAATAAACAATATTAAAATCTTATATATCCTTGCAGTATGTAGATTTGTACATGCAAGTAGGGAATTAAATACAAATTATGTGTCCCACAATCATATGACCCGAGCAAACACTACTCATAACCTGAACGTCCCGCAGTCCAGGCGAGATTTAAATTTGCGTTTTGTGACATATCTTGCACCTAAATTTTACAATCTGATTCCAGCTAATATCAGGAATATTGGAAATAATAAAAAAATTAATGTTTCGTTTAATATGTTCTGTTGGGAAAATCGAGAACAATTTATGCGTCTATTTTAAGTTGCTTTGGGGTAGATTGATCTGCCTATTTGTTTATTTTCTTTCTTTTTGATATTATTGTGACACTTTTTTTCTGTGATCTTAAGTTAAATCTATGACTTACAACAAAAGTATGAAATTTTCTTTCGTTTTGTGTATATCGTGTTTCATGTTTTGTTTGTATAGTTGAGTGATTTTATACAAAAATATATATTGCACGATATTTATCAATTAATTACTGTTTTGGTCTGTTTTTGCGCATACAAGTTTTTAAACTTACGCGCTCATATATTATAGAGAAGCCTTGTTTTTGTTTCGTTAATTTATAGATATATATTATTTTTATATTGGTAAATTTGGGTTCTGCTGAATAAATGTGGTAGAGAATGATTGCTGAGTTACTGTCTGTTTTCGACAACGAGGCGCCACATCAGTCGACAACTTCCCGTTGGTATGGCGAATACAAACGTGGACGGGTGAGTCTTAGCGTCGATCCCAGTACGGGTGCACCAAAAACGGCAGTAACCCAGGAAAACGTCGATGCTGTGCGGAAACTCATATTGAAGATAGGCATGTGACATATCGCGAGATTGAGGCGTCCTTGAAAATCTCAAAGACCTCAATTCAAAAAATTTTACATGTAGAATTAGGAGTAAGAAAATTAGTTTAAGGTTGGATACCCCAAAGTTGACTGAAGAGCAGAAAGCAGTCAGGGTTGATTGGTGTCAAAAAACGCTTGACCGTTTTAATTCCGGAAACTCAAAAATGTGTATCTACAGCATTGTTGGTGGGGATGAATCGTGGATTTACTGTTATGAACCAGAAAATAAACGGCAGTTGGCTGTTTGGGTGTTCCAAGGTGAAGAAAAGCCAACAAAAGTCATCCGTTCTCGAAGTGTTCCGAAAAAGATGGTCGCGACATTTGTGTCAAAAGCGGGTCATATTGCAACAATTCCTCTTAATGAGCAAAGAACTGTTACTGTGGATTGGTATACCACCATTTGTTTGCCAAAAGTCATCACCGAGCTTCGAAAAGTCAACCCCGAAAGAAGGATCATCCTCCACCAAGACAATGCAAGGTCGCACACAACCCAAAAAACAAGGCAGTATTTAACGGAAGAAAACGTGGAGTTATTGGACCATCCTCCATATAGTCCCGATCTAAGTCCTAACGATTTCTTTACTTTCCCGAAAATTAAATACAGACTGCGTGGTCAAAGGTTCCAGTCACCAGAAGAAGCAGTGACGCATTCAAAAATGTCGTTTTGTGGAAGAAGTGCTTCGAACATCGGTTCGAGCGCATGCAGATGTGTATTAATCTTCGTGGAGAATACTTCGAAAAACAATAAAGTCATTTAAAACTACCTACCGTGTTGTTTTATTGCCATATGCAAAACTTAAAGGACATCCTTTGTAGTGAGATAAGGTCATAACTTTACACGTACTTCAAGCATAGACCAGTGTTTAGAAGAAATGACGCTTGCATTAATAAATTATTGCTCCCATCGTACGACTATAATCAGGTGTTACAGAGATTTCCTAAGCGGCAATTTCACTCTGGAGGGCGCTGAGAGGCAAGGAAGGCCGCGAACGTCAGTAACCGAGGAGAACATTACTGCTGTGAGAAAAATGCTTGACGAAGACCGGAGAGTGACATACCAACACATAGAAGAGATCCTACACCTTCATGCACCAGCAATTCATTCCATTCTGCATGACCATTTGCACGTAAGGAGACTTTGTTCTCTCTGGGTACCGCATAGTCTGACGGAGGAGCCGAAAACTCGTCGTACGACTTGGTGCCGAAAGATGCTGAAAATGCTTCATAAGCGGCAATCTCGGTATGTCAGCAGCATCGTAACAGGTGACGAAACTTGGTTCTATTAATACGATGTGGCGACTAAGGCTCAAAACAATGTTTGGGTCTTTGATGATGAGGAGACACCCGGCAGAAAATCCTGGACTGTTAAGAAAAAAATGATCGCTGTATCTTTCAAGTAGAGCGGCATTGTGGAGCGTGTCGTTTTTGACACACAGAAGACAGTCGCAGCTAAGTGTACATGGAACAGTACCAGCCTAAAGTCATAGAGTCTACGAAACACCTGTGGCCAAAGTCAAGAATGGACACTTGACACATACATGACAACTCTCAAGCTCACCGCGCCAATGCCTGCACCAAGTATTTGATTACTACTGGACTGAAACTTTTCTACAAGTCCGATAATACTCAAAGAAAATATTGGGTAGGCTTCTTCTAAATACTGCATGTATAATTGGTGATCACAATAAAAACAATAAATCAAATCATACTATCCAACTATTCAACGATTTAGTTGAAATTCTGAAGTAGTTAAAAAATTGGTCCTAATTTTTGAAGACTGGGTCAGAGTGTAAAGAATAAAAAAATAAAAAGTATATTCCTCAAAATCTTATTGAACTCAGTATGCCTTCTCTTTTCTTCTACGTCCTGTCATTCTTTGGTTTGTTAACGAAGCACCAATAACTATTTACACATTCATTCTCGCTGACTAAAGATAATGTCACACTCGATTACCTAGTTCCATGCTATCTGAAATTTGTACGCGTACCATATGAACACCTGACAAATCCGCATCACGTCAATGCACGTCATCTGAACTTAAGACTACACCTCAAAAGCTGCCATCCTTCAAGAAAAGGTCATTTGCTCCTTTTTTGTTCAGAACGACTCAAAAAACCTAAAAAATATCACGAGCGATTTTTTTTTTAATTCTGTTAAATAAAACTGCTTAAACAATTTTTGACGCAATTTTAGACATGGCAATTGCAGTTTCATAAAAAGGGATCCCTCTTGAATAAAATTATGCAAAACGACGGATTAGAATATTTTTGTGAGCCGATAAAAATCATAATAATAAAAGTACGAGTATTTTATTGAGGATGAAATTTGGCTTGAGCTTTGCTGCCACTTAAGCCTTGAGAAGTACAAAAAATACAAACTCAATTATAAATAAGTAAAGGTATATGTGAGTATATGAAATTTTGCTAACAGTAGATAATGAACATTTAATTATACACATGGATGTACACCGAAAAGGAAATATTTTGAGAATTCAGGGGTCAAACTATGCTGATAAGTACTTGTCTAATGTAAGTTGTTTAATTTGTTTTTTAAACTTATTGTAATTTAGTGATTTTAATGCCTGAGGTACTTCATTATCATATTATTATAAATGTAATCCGGTTCTATGTGAAGCACCTATGGAAGAATGAGGTTTTGTGAGTGACTCAGTAAAATGTATTCTAAGTAAGCAAGAGCTTATGAGTGTAAGTCAATAGGAGTAACTCAAATAGTCCTCTTACCTTCAAACACCCCGCGTCTCCCAAACAACTGCTCATATGGTCATATTTTATAAAATTATTTATTATTCTGCAAGATGAATTTTGAATTTCTTGTAAACGGGAAAAAGATATTGAATCTAACAATGGAATGCAGGCACGAGGTCATTTTGGACATAATTAATGATTTGCATAAGATTCGTTTAGTTTTTTTTATACTCCAACTACCACGAAGGCCTAAGGCCTAAACACCCATTGGGTACCGTGGGGCTATAGGGGGATACAGGGGAAAGAGGAACGCGACACGTACTCTGGCGAGGGAACACGTGTGCATGCAGCATGCACACATTCTGGCTCCGCCTGCGAGATCGCCGTGTGGTACCTCCGCGTTCGACAGTCAGACCGTCTACCACCTACGGAGAATCACAACATCTATAGCCAAGAGAAAAATTTCTCCTGGGACGGGATTCGAACCCGCACAACGCACGTCGACTGATCAGGAGACCGAAGAGTCTACTACTGCGGCCACCGCTGCTGTCTAAATAATCGAGAATTTGTTTATTCAGATATAACTTTTTGTAACTTCGTGTAATTGAGACACTCATCAAAAAGAATTCCCATGTTTTTGACTGCTTCATTAATTTCGATAGTAGTACCATTTCAACTAACATTAAAGTTGTTTTTTAATAACATTTTTAACGAGTGTGTGCAGGTCGGCGATATACAAATACGAGGGGTACCAAAAAAAAAATCGGAATTATTTTTTAAAAGCTATTTATTTTCAACTTTTTCACAAAGTTATGTTATCTCCTTCGAAATACTGTCCACTACAACTAATACACCTGTCTCACGGGTGCTTCCACTGCTCGAAACATTTTTTGAAGTTTTCCTTAGAAATTTGTTTCAGCTCCTCCCTCGTTTTTTTATGCTCCATTTCATCCGTGGAAATAAGAAAAAGTCGCACGAAGCCAGGTTAGGCGAATAAGATGCGTGAGGCAGCGGAACCATGCCATTTTTAGCCAGGAACTGTCGATCAGAGATGGCTGTGTGCGCAGGTGCATTATCGTGGTAGAAGAACCAGTCTCCTGGCTGCCCCAAATTGGGTCTTTTTTGCCAAAAACTGTTTCGCAATCGTTTTAAAACCTCCAAGTAGCACAAGTTCTCGAATTCTTTCAATATTTTCGTCGTTTCGGGCAGAGGTCGTCTAGAGCGAGGTTTGTCATCAATCGACAAGTCGCCATTTTTTAATCGAGCAAGCCACTCGTACATCTGAGTTCTTCCCATAGCATTTTTACCACTTAAAAAGCAAAATTTTACAGCTGCACTGAAGCTTGCCATTGTAAAAAACGAAACAAGCACGAAACAGCTCTAGCAAAAATAATGACTAGAGTAGGAACGAAACAAGCCCGATCGACAACTCAGGTGGCACTCTGGGTGGCACTGAACTGGTAATGAGTTGCGCTGTACGCCTCTATGGGCAGAAATATGTACTACACAAGCTCCGCCCACTGCAATGCTATTTTCGTTATTTTTGGGTACGTCCTCGTAAATTAAATAATAATAAGGCTCCGAGTACAAAAGCTTGGGGTACTGCAGTGCAGATGAAATGCCACACTTAGGTTACACATCCATATCAGTACTTCCTGGTCCATTTTTCCTCTGGACATATGATAGCTTGACTGCTGAGTGGTCCTGCTATTTCTAGTCTGTATACTGTAGTGCTACGCTCCAGCTCCGCAATAGATGGTTATATCCCGAAAATCGATTTTTGTTAATTGCCTGAAAAGAATCTTTCAGTCTCCGTTACTTTTTCCCCCTTTTCATGGAATATCCTTTTCACGTAACGTCTGTTGGGTCATTAGTTGCTCTTTTTCGACAAGAAAGCTTGATTTAGTTGATTTGCTTGAAAATGGATTATGCGTTGCATTATGAGGGCTATACAAAAAGTTCCTGATTGAATCCTTTAATTCTATTTCAGAGGTACTCATAATGTCCGCTATAAGAACGATGGCAAGTAGGTTGGCCACGCACAATCTTCGCATGTATGCATTACATGATTCAATGTTCTAAGACCTAGAAACGAGGTAAAAGATGAGTTATCAACTAATGAACACATATGAGACATTGATGTGATCCTTTGTTCTGGTATATCACCTGTACCATTACGTTGAAAAGTAGGTCATTTATCTTTTTATTCATGTCTCACTCAGCCACTGTGGCCCTTACCACCAAAGACTTGACTGAACGAGATCTTCGACATCAGAACCGCTAGAAACTAAGTCCTCTGGATTAGAAGATGGACTGACGTGTCTCCCGCAAGATGCATCTGATAATTCTAGAATTCTTGATATACTGTTGGCCACAAATGGTTTCTCGTTGGTAGTATCTTGCGACATCCATGCTATGACGATTTCCTTTGCTTGTTTGCTAGTAATACGCTACATAACTCAACCCTCGGTAACGAAATGTTATTTACTGGTGCTAATATCGATGTTGAATAAAATAATGAAACTTGAAAATGACCATGTGAATCTATACTGCGTACATGAATAGCTGCTCCATATGCTGTGATGGAGACATCTGAAAATACATGTAATTGTATTTGATTATGTCCGTTTGTCAGTGCATGCCATGGAACTGGTACTGACTGGATGCTCTTAAAATTTGACAGAAACTTTCTGAATATATTGAGATTCTCGGGAAGCGGCAGGTGTATTACGTATCTTGAATAGTGACATTATGATTTGACATTGTTTTATTTTCTGTTACATTATGCAAGTTTTTCTACAAGATGACAACTTCACAAAGTGTGTTGTGTTACTTGTTGTGTACTCGTTATGTAGCTGTACGTGTTGCCTAAATGTCATGATGCTTCAGCTACCAATGTTTGGCTCTGATGTGGTGTAACACCTGCTTCAGAGATTGCATTATTAGAGATCTAAGCTGTAAGGAGACGGTAGTACATAGGTGTATAGTGAGTATTTGTGAGTGTTGATGATAATTCCATTGGTTTCTTGACTTATGCATGCAA